AGCTCTGAAACTCTTCAAACGGCGTAAACCCTAGAAGAAAGGCTCACGGTTTATATATTAACTAACGGTGACTGTACGGGCTGGGCTTTCAGTTGAGTTATGCGATGCCTTGTGGGCCGATGGCCCAATTTATAGGACCCAAGGCCCATAACATCTTTCCTTCTTCCTTGTTTTTCCTACCAACACGACTTCTCTCTCTCCTGCAGTTGAACGAACTTCAGGTTGAAGAAATGCAGTAGAGGAAACCAGCAGCAACAAACTCTCATCAGCAGCAGCTGAACATGAACAGTCGAAACGTCGTCGTGTGCGACAATGGTACCGGGGTACACTCCTCTCCTCTATCTAGCTTTCCTGCTTTCCCTCACACACAAGGAAAAGCACTTATAAAAAAAGCACTTGTATTCTAATCTGTGTCTAAGGGTTTCAACGATCCAGCAAATTTTGACCTCTGTTTTGGATCCGCAGGTGTTAAATCATAATTTAATTTTTGGGTTTTGTTAATTTCGTTTGATTGAGTTTGCAGTATGTGAAATGTGGATTTGCTGGAGAGAATTTCCCCACCTCGGTATTCCCTTGCGTAGTTGGAAGGCCACTGCTTCGATATGAGGAATCACTTATGGAACAAGAAATAAAGGTTAATACTTTTAGTTATTTTTTTAACACAATTCATAATCCTTATTAGCTCGTGATTTAGTGATTGGTTCAGAGAGCATTTTTTTTCTTGTAAATTTTATAAATGAGTTTAGGATGTCATTGTTGGAGAAGCTTGCGCGGAATTTCGGCATCAACTGGATATAAATTACCCGGTTAACAATGGCATTGTGCAAAACTGGGATGATATGGGTCATGTCTGGGACCATGCATTTTACAGTGAGCTAAAGGTAAACTCTGGCTGCCTTTGATTGTGAATTTCGACGTTATAGTTTCATTCGAGGTTGTTAATGCTCTGTTGTGTACTTTTGGTCAACAGATAGATCCTACCGAGTGTCAGATTTTACTCACAGACCCGCCTCTTAATCCTACAAAGAACCGTGAAAAAATGGTATCTTTTTTGTTTTGGTAATCATATCTGTATGATAATAAATATCGGGAATTGTGGCATTGTTGGCTCATGATTTGGGGCTGTTCAACATTTCAGGTTGAGACCATGTTTGAGAAGTACAATTTTGCTGGTGTCTTCATTCAAATTCAAGCTGTTCTAACATTGTATGCTCAAGGTGCTTATAGAGATAATTAAAGGTTAAATGCTTGTGATGTTGTTTTTACACATCCCCCCCCCCCTCCCAAAAAAAACTTCTTTTGTTTCTACCTTTTTCGTTTTCTTCGTGTTATTTCTACAAACAAGTGTCTTTTTGACTGTTGCACTTTCAAATTCTTGGAAAAAGCACTTATTCTCATTTCCCAGAATTATATGTTGGAACAGAATTACGTTAAGTTTTACTTTTTCTGGGTCATGGGCTTCATTGTTTCCTTGTTTTTTTTTACAGGCTTGCTAACCGGATTAGTTATTGACTGTGGTGATGGTGTTACACATGTGGTAAATTCCTCAAACAAAACTTCTATGTTTTGTATTAAGAGTACTGGGAACAGCTTGCATAGTGTATCACTCACTCTACAGTTATATGTTTGAGCTGATTAGTTCTTGGATATTGCACAGTAATGAAAACCATTGAAGGGAAATCAAACTCTATATCAACTTTTAATTAATTTTCTCAACTTTCTAGGTTCCAGTTGTTGATGGCTACTCATTTCCTCATCTTACGAAGCGAATGAATGTAGCTGGCCGGCACATAACATCATATCTTGTTGATTTGCTCTCACGGAGGGGGTGAGAACCATTTGCTTATATTTTAGTAAGATCAATATGGTTTGCACTATCTTTGGTGTGTTAAGTGAAACTTTCATTTGACTGAGGATTGTAACTTTATTCGTGAAGGTATTCAATGAATAGGACAGCTGATTTTGAGACTGTTAGGGAAATCAAGGAGAAGCTCTGCTATATTAGGTAAACAAAACCTATATTCTTGTGCTATGGAACATTTTGTTTTTGGTGCGGAATGTTGTGAAAATTATTAGTTTCATGAATTATCTATCCAATTTGATGCAGTTATGATTACAAAAGGGAGTATCAGTTGGGACTTGAGACCACCATACTTGTAAAAAACTACACTGTAAGTTAGTTTCCGTAGCATCTCATTAGATATCCAATTCTTCTATGCATGGTTTGACGGAAAAGACATAATCAGGGGTGGCCATATTATAAGTTCGTCTTTTTATTTGCCTATGCTTTTTGTATGTCACACTTTCTTTGCTCTAATGGCAGTAATTTTTTTCTTCTTATTTTGGTGATTCTTCATTTTTGTCTGTCATTTTTCTCTTTGGTTCCCTCTTTTATTATATCGTTATAGTTTTAATCAAGAGTTATATATATTTTGATGCTAATTCTCTGATATATGATGGTTTATTCAGCTGCCAGATGGAAGGGTGATTAAAGTTGGCACCGAAAGGTTCCAGGCTCCTGAGGCGCTTTTCACTCCTGTAACTTTCAAGTGTCCTGTGTTATTTTCTTGATGTTGGTTATTTAAACTTTTCTGTAGTCAATTAAATTGCTCAAATGTTTTCAGTCTAGTCTCCTGTTAAATCAATTATCATTTTGTTACATATAATAGTAAAAGGAATTTGCACCTCTTCAAAGTGATAGTAGCACCTACAATGCTGGGTGTATAACAGGTTCAAGGCTTTGAATTCTTGTAAGATTTTCCTTGTACAGGAACTTATAGATGTTGAAGGTGATGGGATGGCTGACATGGTATTCCGCTGCATTCAGGAAATGGATATTGACAACAGGATGATGGTACCTATATGAATCCCATTGCAAATTGACATTGATTATTCCTTTATTCATTTGACTTCATGTCATTGATTGTATGATCTTTTTGCCTTTGTTGCAGCTCTACCAGCATATTGTTTTAAGTGGAGGGAGCACAATGTATCCTGGATTACCCAGTCGGTAATGTCTTACCCTTCATTGTATCACTTGGATTATAAATTTCTTATTTGAAGTAGTTTTTTCCAGTTATATCTGACAAGGGGATGTCAGATTTCTGTATGTTTAGTAATTAAGCTTGAAATTAAATTTACCCTTTTACATTAAAAACTGTATGAATTATTTTCATCCTATAGGCATTCTGTTTTCTTGTTAAAATTTAGTTTAGGAATTGATAATGTTCTGATATTAGATATGGTGTTTCTTCAGTTTGGAGAAAGAAATACTGGACCGCTATCTTGACGTTGTTTTGAAGGGTAACAAAGATGGGCTGAAGGTAAGATAAGAGTTTTGTGTTTCATGGATAAGAAAGAGAACAAACCGAGCTTTGGGAAAAATTATGAAACAGTCGGAACATAGCATATGTATTATGTTGGTATTGAAGTGGTACTAAACTGACTATGGTTAGGTCGGGATATCCTGATTGATATCAAAACTTTAGTGATTAGAAAGAATGTCATCAAGTTGAATGTGACATAATCGACTGAGCTCATTCGTTCTGTTTCTCACGCTCCAAAGTTTGGGTTGAACAGAAATTGCGATTGCGAATTGAAGATCCTCCACGAAGAAAGCACATGGTGTATCTAGGTGGTGCAGTCCTTGCAGGAATTATGAAGGTACATGTCATTGCTTGTTCTCTCTATCTCTGATATCGAGTTTCCATACGATGTCATCAATTCCCCACATTGGAGTGGGTAACTGCAAGTGGTCTAAGAAAATTTCAATGTGGTGGTTAACACATGCAGGACGCTCCTGAATTTTGGATCACGAGGGAGGATTATCTAGAAGAAGGAGTTGCTTGTCTAAGCAAGTGTGGTCAGGCATGACTTTTTCGAGGTCAGTGTGCCACCCGCTTAGCTGTTTTCAGTAGTTGGAATCGAAGAGTGACAAGTAAAACCATGTGTGCCCAAGAAATTGAAATATCAATTGGTGTTTTGAGGAACCTATAGGAATGGTGTTTTGACTTTTGAGTAACCATTTTGCTAGCTATCTATAAGCCTGGTGCAAAGAGTTTGTTGTATCCGTATGGCTGGAAATGTATACCGTAAAGTTGTAGCGATTATTTTGTATCTCCGACTCTGTTTCCAGTCCAATTTATTCGTCTGCGACACTTTTTATACACCCTTGTCTCTATCTCCCTCCATGGTCTTCAAAGTTCTAAAGCATGTCGCTGTCTGTTGAAAATCAAACTCACTGTTACTGTGCCATTTCCACCGCAATGATCGCAGGAATTACGAGTCACGAGTCCCGCCCAAAAAAAAACTACAAAAACATGAGAGCTGGGAAGCAAAGGTTAGGACATTATTATGTGATAACTTGTAATTGTTGGAGAATGGGATCCTGCATCAGTCTTATGGTAAAATAATATATAATTAATATATGGGAGTTTTTACCCCTAAACCACCGAATGTCTTTTGTAGTAAAACTGAACGCCTAGTAATGATGGTTAAATTGGAATAGTATTGGTGTTATTGGTGGACCAGGTTATTTTTCGACACATATTCGGCCCAATTTACTAGGCTTAAATTTGCCTCCTTAATTAGTTAGCCTTCTGAATGACTGGGCACTCGAAAAGTTGCGTTGGCTTTAGTCTTTGAATGATGATCAGGCTTTCAAAAAGTTACGTTAGTTTCGGTATAATGAATTGACTAGTTCCTATGTGGGAATTGGTTTCCCTTGTGACGTCGTGTGGGGCTATCCGTGAGAGAGCGTGTTTGAGAATAGGATATTATCACATCAATCATATGACAAAATAGTTAGAGTTTGCGTTGTGTGTTCAGTTAAAGTTTGCGTTGTCGTGATTTCCTTCATTCAAAGAAAAAACTTGGAGTAAGAGGAACCAAAGCAAAAGGGAGTTATAGAATTTGGATACCAACCCCACCAAAAAAGCCCCCACACTTTCTCCCCTATGACATTAGATTCCTTGTCTGGTGTGTTAGGTTTCAGTACCAGTGGCCTACCCTCACCCATCTTCCTGCCCTATACTCTATTTCCAGATGAAAAACACCGCCTCTGCAGTTTCATTTCGTAGCCCGAAAACATTTGGATCATCAGATTTCAGGCACAACTACCTGTCCCTTTTCACCATTACCTTCTTTTTCTAAAACAAGTAACGCAATTGATAAGTTGCGAAATTCCACCTTTCTATAACTATCCTGCTCCTCCAGTCCTCCTGGAACCTCGAAAGCCATTCCCTTTGCCGATCCTCATCAGTTTTTGGGTTCGTCATTCGAGTTCTGAGCATTCCTTTCAGCTATTTTCAGAACTCTCCTTTCCGTTCATCAGCTTGCTCATATGGTTTGTTCTCTCATAACTCACTTTAAGGGTTTGTTTGGAACTGCTACGAGAAGGGCTAAGCGCTTATGACAAAGTGTTTCGGAGTCATAAAAGCGCGCTTTCCTCTACAAAAAAATTTCGTATTTCTAATAAAAGTACTTCTAGCAAACGTTTATGAACACAAATGCTTCTTAAAGAAGCAGTATCGAATGAGTCCTAAATTCCTTATGATCTTGCTTCTTCTTTTCTGCATTTTTTGATACTGTGTTTTCAGGTTGCTGAATTCGGAGACTCTGCCGCAATGGACAGCAACAACACCAATGGCGACGCGTTCCAGCTGAGAGTGAAGCAAGGAGAGCCAACTCTGGTTCCCCCTGCGGTTGAAACTGAGAAGGGTTTGTACTTCCTCTCGAACCTCGATCAGAACATTGCGGTGACTGTTCGTACTATTTACTGCTTCAAGTCGGATGCAAAGGGAAATGATAAGGCAGGGGAAGTGATCAAGGATGCTTTGAAGAAGGTTCTTGTCCACTACTACCCTCTCGCCGGACGATTAGCAATCAGCGCGGAGGGAAAGCTCATTGTGGATTGCACCGGGGAAGGAGCTGTTTTCGTTGAGGCTGAAGCAGATTGCGCGATAGAAGAGATTGGAGACATAACAAAGCCGGACCCCGAGACTCTTGGGAAGCTGGTTTATGATGTTCCTGGTGCAAAGAACATGCTGGAGATTCCTCCTCTGGTGGCTCAGGTTTGTGACTAAATCTCTGCAATACAATTTCACTTCTCGTCTCTTGAAATTACGTTTGTAAATTAATGATCATTCCATTAGGTGACTAAATTCAAATGTGGAGGATTTGCTCTTGGCCTGTGCATGAATCATTGTATGTTTGATGGCATTGGCGCTATGGAATTCGTGAACTCGTGGGCTAAAATCGCCAGAGGTTTACAATTGACAGATCCTCCGTTTTTAGACAGAAGCATACTCAAAGCGCGAAACCCACCTAAGATAGAGTACCTGCATCAAGAATTCTCAGAGATTACTGGCACTTCTAGCACCAACAATGACCTTTGTGATGAAAAAATGTTGTACAGATCCTTCTGTTTCAACAGTGAGAAGCTTGAAAAACTCAAAACGAAGGCCAGGGAAGACGGGGCGCTTGAAAATTGCACTACATTCGAAGCCCTCTCTGCATTTGTGTGGAAAGCTCGGACCAGAGCGCTAAATATGCTGCCTGAACAACAAATAAAGCTCATGTTTGCTGTTGACGGGAGGCCTAAATTCAGCCCGCCGCTGCCAAAATGGTACTTTGGCAACGGCATTGTGCTGACAAATTCCATCTGCCAGGCAGGTGACTTGCTGGACAAGCCACTGTCAAATGCAGTCGGACTAGTTCAAGATGCAATCAAGATGGTCACTGACAGTTACATGAGATCTGCCATAGATTATTTCGAGCTGACGCGAGCCAGGCCTTCGTTGGCCTCCACACTCTTGATCACGACTTGGTCTAGGCTGTCGTTCTACACGACTGATTTTGGTTGGGGAGAGCCTGTGCTGTCGGGCCCGGTGGCATTGCCGGAGAAGGAAGTGATCTTGTTCCTTTCTAATGGAACAGAAAAGAAGAACATAAACGTGCTTCTGGGGCTTCCAGCTTCTGCCATGAATGTCTTTGAAGAACTGATGAATGTCTAGAGATCCAACAACAGCAGCATGAAATTGTTTTTTCGTATTAAAGCTCGTGTATTTCGAAATTATTGTCACTTGTTGTAATCTTATTATTATTCGTTTGTGTAGTGCTGCTAAACTTTATGTAAACAGTCAGCGAGATTGCTGATGGTCATTGGGTGTATTTTATTTGTGGAAGCATAAATTAATGATGGTAAATTTATCATATTTTGCTTATGTTTTTTATTCGACTAATGAGGTCATTCCTCCTTTAATTTCACTAAATAGTAAATATTAATCTCAGATAAAAAGGGTTCTTATGTCGGAGGTCGAGAAGATTTATAAAGGTATTTCAACCATTCTGATCATTATTGTGTGATTTAGCAACGCATGAATAAAACTCAATAATAAGTTAATAACAAACAACAATAAAATATGAGAAACGTTAAGGCGGGGTTGTCTCAAAGATTTTGGAGGCCCTATACGAAATTTATGAAAGGCCCTTCCTTAAGATAGTTTTAAAAAATATAGGACAATATATTGACGCTAGAAAATGATCACTTAAATCAAAACAAAGTTTAGCACTAACTGATTGCAAGTTTAAAAATATCAAAGAGCTACAAATATAACGTTCACTAAATAATCAAAAGCAGTTCAATCTTAAACAACCAAACAAGGAAAAAAAACTTAAAAAATTCTAACTTTAAAGTTTCACTTGAATATATAACATTATTATATAATAAAATTGAAAAAAAGAATACCATTTTTAAGGTGTTAGAAAGGAAAAAAAAATACTTTTATAAGGAGTGCACAATGAAATTTTAAAGTGTTAACAAAAACAATTTTTAAATATAGAATGTTATTACATAACAAAAGTAATTTTTAAATACAAAACATTATTACATATAAATATTAGATTAGGACAAAAAATTTGGGGGCCCTTTCAAATTCGAGGCCCTATGCGACTGCATCTTTCGCTCTCCCTCAACGCCCCCTCTGTGTTAAGGAGACTCACTATAAATTTTATGCCACTTCATAATTTTAGCATAAGTTTTATAATATTGGCACTAAATTTTCATTAAACTACGATATGGTAAAAAGTTGATGACAAATTTCACTTTTAAGAAAATTTATTTGACGTTAAACTGTAAAGTATCACAAAGTCTACATAAATTACACATTATCAAAATTATACGGAAAGTGAAAAACAACCTTAGACCATAGCATACGTGAGACATTGTCCGAACCAGTACGACGTCGTGGCTGGATAACTTTTGTGCAGTTGACAACTCTCCCGGCTAAAACCCCTAAACATAGAACTCAACAACACCGCAAGCCAAGGGTGCTTTCGGAACTTCGGTGGTAAGAAAAGAAAACTCAAGAGAGAGAGAGGGAGAGAGAAGGAGAAGAAGCGGTTGAACAACTTGAACTATAAAAAGATTCCGTCTTTCGGAGTTTTCCGAGTCCGAATTCAGCTGGGTAAGCTTACCCCCCAATCCTTCATGGACGAACTCGAGATTGCTACTTGTACCCGCCGCTGAATTTGTTTTTTCTCTGACCACCGCATTCCTATCAACGCAAGAGGTACCTACTCCAAGCTCTAGGGTTCCAATTTTTAGTTTATTTTTGTTAATTGTGTTTTCTATTTCTTAATTCTACTTTAGGGCTGTAGAGTTTTACTCTCAGGCAATATTTGAAGAATCTTTTTTTGTTTGTTTCTGAATTTTTGAGTAATATTTTGAATTAACTGGTTTAATTGGACAGGAAAAGTTAGGGATAACATGTAGATTATGGAAGAAAAAAATTTGGGTTTTGGCTGGATGCTGATTTTGTTCATTTTTTTTCTTTCTAATTAATCTGTTGTGAATCTGTGATTAGTAGTTTCAGTTAAAGGAAAACTAATGAAAGGGCTTGAAAATTTTGAGTTTTAATCAAAAGGACAAAAATGTGTTGTAAGTGAATATAATCAGGAGTGATTTTTTAGAGTAAAAATGTGTTTTTTGTTAAAGGTGAACAGTATTGGAAGTGTTTCGTTAAAGGTGAACAGTGCCGGAAGTGTTTCGTTAAAACTCCCGTCAGTTAATTGATTAATTTAGTTTGATTCGTCATTGACTAATTGAGTAAGTAATGTTGAGTAGCCGAATGATTTGAAGATGGAAACTTTATAAGCAAGCACATTTGATGTTTGGTGGTTTGTAGATACCACGAGTGAGTATCAGGTGTAGCAAAATTAGGAAGAGATACTGCCGATTGTGTGAATTGGCGTAGAGAATTGGAATCGGCACAATGATTGTTCTTTGTTTGTTACGTTGTCATTTTGGTCTAGGAGTTATTGCCAAACTGTAGATTGTAGTGTGCAGTCTATTTGGGAATACCGTTATTGGTATGGACAACGAAGATTTTACATATCATTCATTAAGGGAAACTTGTCGGTCATTCATTTCATAATCATTACATGTTAGGCACCGGGCCATATATCGGTCGTCAAAGGAAATAGAAGTACGTAATAGGCAAACATAACGTCAAAACCAATTTCAGGAATCTTGCATCGCATTTGTACAGAAGCGCTCGCATCTAGAAACATCTAGAGCTAATCGTATTTGCGCACATCTGCTTCTAAACCTATAGCCCAAAGATGAAGACGTTATCCGACCATGTAGCCCATGAGCAGGCCCAAGGGCTAACTAATGGCCTACACTATCATCGGAAAGTGTGACCAAATCATCTATCCCCCATGTTTTCATCAGTTTCACAAACTGTTTAAAGTGCATAGGCAAAGAGATCACCATTACGTCCAATAATTTCTAGTTATGAATAACGGATTTTTCATTCTTTATTAGAGGTAGCCATCTGAATCAAGTTTTGACTGTATTCTCTCCTCCGAAATCATTGGGCTTGGGCACTTACTTATTGCCAGTTAGCACACAAGTATGGTATTTATTGTATTCTCACACTGGACACAAGTGTTACATTTCTGGGATTTGTAGAGGCATAATAGCCAACTCCAGATGCAGAGTCAATTCACTTTCTATATTTTCTTCACTATCCCTGACTAGATTTAAAACATTTATATTTTTTTATCATTTTTTACTAGTTTTCGTAGGCTCATTACAAGCTCTTGTTTTAGGTGAATTTGAGAAGGCATTATCCTTCCGCTCTGGTTTGGGTGCTTGAATCATTATAAGTTTTAAAAGTAATTTATCATAGGAACTGTTTGTAATCTAAATTTGTAGACACAAAATTATATTATATGCTATTTCTCGCATGTGATGCTAGAGGGATGAATAGTTGATATATTGTCCATGGTTACAATTTGATCGTGACTGTTGCTTTCCTAGATGCAACGTGCAAATGCAAGGTTTCCCAATCTTCAGTCTTATGATGACGTGAAATTTTGTTTTGGTCGATATACTGTGCTTCTAGGTGTCTTACCAGGTGGAATCTGTTACTGTATATCTAAATGTTTATTTGTTTTGCTTGAAGGTTTTCTCAGTTTAAAGGCTGCATTGTGCAGTATAAGTTGGACCAACTCTTGCTGGAATCATGGGAAGTACATTCAATCCGCAGATTTTAGTGGAAAAGCTAGCCAAGCTCAATAGCTCTCAAGCAAGCATAGAGAGTATCCTTTTGCTGACATCACATGGATATCAATGTTCTTTTTAGCTTTTTCATAGATGAACTGTAGACAATTTTTCTGGCTGTTCTAACTTTCATAGCGAGCCAGATTTCCTTTTGTGGGACAATTTAACCACCCTCTTGTCTCATAACTCATTTCTTTGGAAAACTTAATTGATTTTGAAATCCATTGTCAAAATCCACATATCCAATGCATTTTCCCTGCCAAATTTGAATCCTTTTGCTATTCCATAATCACTGTTTTGTTTATTGTCTAGTTGATATTATACTTTTCTTGTAAGTTTTAATTTACAAGTACAACTTAGTGATACTTGTGCATCTTGAGCTTTGGCATATCTCATTATTTTTGCACATGTTGTCGATGCTTGTTATCTTTGTTGTCTGAGTACGTGGTTGTTATCCTTAATGCAATTTAGCTTTATCACATTGGTGCATTTTCCATATGAATAAAGCAAGACAAGTTGTTGAAACATGGGCTAGGCAATTTCATTCTGCTCCACGCGACCAGAGATTGGCTTTCTTGTATCTTGCTAATGATATTTTACAGAACAGTAGGCGAAAAGGTTCGGAATTTGTTGGTGAATTTTGGAAGGTTCTTCCAGATGCTCTTCGTGATGTAATTGAAAGTGGAGATGAATTTGGAAGAAATGCAGCACAACGATTGGTACAACTGCATAACCTGTTTCTACATATTTTTAAAAGAAAAAAATAAATTGGAATTGGTTGTCATGGAGATAGTTTCTATTGAGAACAGATTAATCCAAAGGAAACCTTGAGCAAAACCAAATTTTTGGTTTATAAGATGGATAGAAGAAGGACTCAACTCTTTATATGTATGCATGTGCATGTGCATATGTACTGTTTCATTTTCTTGTTTTCTTGTTGTTCTAGAAACTAACCTGCAGCTGTTGCTGATTGTTGGGGTTCAATGTTTCTACTTTGTAGGTTAATATATGGGATGATAGAAAAGTTTTTGGTTCTCGTGGCCAGATTCTCAAGCAAGAGTTTGTTGGACAGCACCCGGAAACTAATAACAGAAATGGGAAGCATTCGGGTGCCAGACTGGTAAGATCGTATGTATTGACTGTATTGCGTGAGCATTTGTTTCAGCTTACAGTTTGATGGCTAACCTTTTTTTTCCTTTTACCTTTTTCGTTTGAAAAAACAAGAAGCATCCCGCTGGAACTTCATTGGACAAAATAGTTTCAGATTATCAAGTTATCCATGGGCAGATGGACGAGGATACTATATTGAGCAAATGCAGGAGTGCTATTAGCTGTCTTGAGAAGGTTGATAAGGAAATTGGTGCCGATGTCACTTCAGGTATACCCAACATGTGTAAATTCTTGAGAACTTTCTCTAACTTTTAACATGTGTAGTGTTCGTGACTTACTTTGCCCTAAATTGTCTTTCTTCACTAGGGCAATTTCATGGATCTGCATTTGTGGAGGAGGTTCAGGGTCAGCATGCTATACTGAGGAACTGTATTGAACAACTAAGAGCTGTTGAATCATCTAGAGCTAATCTTGTGTCTCATTTGAGAGAGGCTCTTCACGAGCAGGTTGGTTGGCAGACAATCCTATTAGCAAAATATCAGAATTTTCA